AACCGTTGCCTGAAAGCCAAGGGATAGCTGTGCAAATGTTCTATGCTTCTCGTATGAAAGAAGCAGGTGGTTTATCATAGGAACCTAAATGTAGACATGTAGTGAGAGGAAAGCAATACAGTGATTAAGAATATATATAGTTTATGATAATTCGATTATGAAGAGTTTTTAAACGTAAGGCTTAAGTAAAATCAGGAAAATAAAGTAGGATGAAGGTAAATAGATGACAGAATAAATGTTTAGACTACAAGCAACAAGCCAAGAACAAGTAGACTCGAAGAAACAAGGAACGAACATGTGTCATGTGATATGAGCGTGGATACAAATTGATTGACCGCTGTAGATGGGAATCAATTGGTTTGTGTAGCTACAAACCAGGGACAATGAGTAGACTAATGATGAAAAATGAATGACTGGAGAAGAACTGGGAGAATTATGTTAACAAAATAAGTGACTATGAACAGGAGCATAAATTCCTGACGCCCAATGGAAATGAATTCTGGATCTATGATCCGATTGGCAAACCACGAGATGATCGATGAAAGAATGCAAAAAAAGCAATTGCCTTTAAATGCGAGAAGGAATGGAAATCAGAAAGACTAGAAGAGAGGCCACTCATCTCAAGCTAATCCTAAATCCATCTGAGCGAAGAAAGATAAAGATTAAAAAGAGCAAAATGCATATGAAGTGATCAAAAAGTCTCAGAGATACATGCGTTGAGCCATGTCAGACATACGACCAGGAATGTGTACAGTATGCTCCATATATGAGGCCAGATCATCGACGGAAATGTCAGAGAGCGGCAGTTGTTGCTGATGTTGCGGTTGTGGGGTTTGCTGCATCACATGCTCTAATTGATGGCGCTGTTGTTGTTGCAGGTCATTCAAAAGAATTCTTTGTTGCTGCCCTCGAATGCCATCTTCTTCCGATGCTAAGGTTGGCTTAAGTGGTGTCGAATTTTTTTCATATTCTGATTGTTCTGCTAAAACCTTCTGCGACCTAGCGTGTAACTCTTCTGAAATCTCAGTTTTTCTACCGGCAGTAACAGAATGGGAACCAAAAGAATGAGGTAACTTGGTAGATTCAGATAATCCTGAAAGCCCGAAAGCAAGGGGAGAAGAGACAGAAAGCGGGCAGTTGAGCGATACAGAACATGTAGGATGGAGTGAAGGCGATGAGACTGGGGGATGCGGCTGGAATAAAATAGATTTTAAAATAAAGATGATGGTCAATTAAAAACGGAAAAAATTTGCTAGCGACCACATATACTCATAAATAAATTGTCATAAAATAATTAAAAATAATATATGAATGAATTAAAAGCTGTCTGATAAAACAAAGTGAGCAGATGGAAGTTTGCGAGAAAAACTAGGAAGGTGATATACCATATAGGCTTACAGATATGAGAGTATCAGAAAAAAAAGTTAGAAAATTAAATAAAAGAAACCTATTGGAAGATTTTGTAAATAGGATTTCTTTGACAACTGTTTCCGCATCCAGAACGTCAATCTCTCTAGAAAGTTAGCATAAAAACAAAGTGAGAAAATAAGTAAAGTTCTCAGCTGTACCATCCCTGACAAAATAGTCTCCGTTTGAAAATGTATTCCCTATCAAAGGAAAATCACTTTCGGTTAGGCCTAAGGAATAATTATTTTCCATGAGTAAATCCTCCTGCATATCTAAGTATTCAATTAAGTATATTATGTGCATTCACCCTATTTCGTTTAGGGCGATAAGGGGATCGGAAGTTGAATTTTACCACAATGGTATAGGCAGACC